GCTCATTGTAGATGCTTGCGATCTAAATGGGATACTGCGATCTTGGGAACCTTAAAATAAAAAAGTCCGAGGCAGAAGACCAACTTTCTTCCATGCGATGCCGTCCCCTGCTTCCTTCCTGGAAGCTAGCTTCTTGCTTTTTCACAACTTCTAAAATTAACCTCTGAGCTCCTCCCGCTGCCTTTGGAGGGCAGCCCTGGCTAACTCTATCTGGGGCCATAAGCTGAGCAGCAGGTGATTCCGATAATCCTTCCTTTTCCTCAAGTCGGCCTTTCCACCTGCTTACTTGGAAGCAGGCTGGGCAGGGGGCTGGCATGGGAGGGCATAGCCTGCTGCCTGGTTGCCTTTCTTCTACTGAGCCTGGCATATCTGATGCATACCCCAGTTCCAACAGGGTGTGGAAAGCTTCCCCCTCACCCTCCTGGTCTGTTTTGTTGTTTTGTTTATTCTCTAGAGTTCTTCTCTGGGAACATTCCAGCCAGGGATTATATAAGCCTTTGAAGCTGAGTAATGGTGATCTAGCTTCCCCTGACTTAGTAACAATTCCTCCACTGGGGTTAAAGATGACTCACAGGGCTTGTCAAAGGGGAACTGCAAAGCAGGTACTGAAGGATATTCTAGAAGCTAGAATCGGTCGGCATGGCCACTTTTGCAGGGAGGGTGAAGCAGGTGGATGGATTTGACTAGAAGTGAATCCAAACTTCAGGAGCTAATGAGCCAACCATGATCTGCACCGACTCCCGGCGAAATTCGTCCTATAAGCACATGAGACATGACGGCTCCCCTTTGCAGAATGCTTTCCGTGCCGCAAACTGGCAAAGTCTGAAAAAGCCAATGTCACGTGTACTGCGGATGCTGCCAGAGGGACAAAATGCTGCAGCCTGAGGTTTTTATTAGGTCATACTGCTGCCTTATTGAAAGTAACGCATCAGACCAAAATGGGGGGGCGGGGGGCACAGCGACTACAGCAGCCATGCAAGATATGGTGTGTTCACTCCCATGGGGCAGTGTGGACCCTCCAAACACAAACAGGCTTGGGCTGACCAGGGCTCTCAGCAGCTTCCCAAGCAGTTTCCTTTGCACAACCTATTAGGACTCAGACCCTGGATGGTGGCCAGTGTGCCAGCCTTGAGTTAGCTTTGCAGATGCTGAGCAAGGGAAGGAGAGGGGAAGATCGGAGTGGCTGCCATCTGGTGACCTGAAGCGGAGTGGCTGTGAAGGGCGCCAGCAAAGGAAAAGTCTTTCAAGCCATCCATGCCAGGCTTGGACTGCTGGGGGATAGCAGCGGCAGACAGACTAAGTTGGCAGCCCAGTGAGCAGAGGCCCATCAAGCAGTCCGAGAGGTGAAGATGCAGGGCTATAAATAGAAGCGCACGAGGATGCTCTATAAACAGAGCCCAGCCACAGCCCCGGCCCCAGGGGAATCCAGGCAGACGGGAAACGTCTTGCTCTTGGAAGCCATCCTTCCAGTGTGTGGGCAGCAGCAGGATCCCTGACCGTGGAGAAGGCTTGTAAACACCCAAGCCGGGACACACGCACACAAACACCACTATGTGGGCCGCTGCACACCAACACTGGCTCCCTGGCTGTTGCCTTTAAACGTTTTTCCCCAGGAATCACCACTCATTTTTTCCAGACCTCTGGCAATGCTGGAGAGCAGGAGACAGTGGCCTAATCCCTGCAGTCTATGATGCTTTCCCCTTAAGTCAAGGCATGTTTCTTGCCTCAAATCCTAAGGCAAGAAACATTATACAATGTAAAATGAAGGTAAAGGTAGGGCAGGGGGAAGGGACAATGAAGCAAGGAGGAGAGCAGAGGACCCGAGTGGGAGAGAACAAACCTCTGGCTGTGTTTACCAGGAGGCAACGTCACTGTGCAGACAGGGGCGTCTCTCCACTCTCTCCCTGCAGGGCTTTGTGACCTGCCTGTTCACTATGCCTGACTTGACCTCCAGCGGGTTGCACAAGGGCTGAGGGTCAGATGGGAAGGGCAAAGGTGGTGTTTCTCCCCTGTCCAGTCTTCATATTTCCTTCTCTGCTATTCCTGCCCAAGTGTGTCCTCCTGTGACCTCTGTAGGCATGTGTTGGTTCTTTCCCTTCCAGGCCTCTGCAGCCTCCTCTTGGCCTAGAGCTTTCACAAAGGCTGTGGTTAGACTTCCATAGAGTGCTCAAAGCCTTCTAAAAGTTCTCTAAAAATGATCCTATAACGTCAATACATGCACACTGAGCTTTAAAAACTCTTATCAGTGGGGGCACCAGCAGTTAGCGTAATGGCTATGTCGCTGGACTCCCACGTAGTCGACCGTGGGTTGCGTCTCGGACCCAGTAGCTTAAAACTCACGCCAGGCGTGTGTGCGTGCGTGCCCAAGATCCCGAGAGGACAATAGAGGAGAAGGAATTGCAGCATGGCCATCCCCCCTGGGGGGTAATTTCTCGCTTTCTGTCTCTCTGTCTCTGTCTGGCGAGCGCACGAGCCTTATAGTGAAAACCTCTCCAAAACAAAACAAAAGAAAACAAAACAAAACCAAAAAAAACCCTCTTATCAGTGGGACCAGCAGATGGTGTAATGGTTACATTGCTGGACTCCCATGTAGTTGACCATGGTTCAAATCCCAGACATGGTGACTTAAAACTTATGCTGGGTGTGTGCACATGCATGCCCAAGATCCCAAGAGGAGAATGGAAGAGAAGGGATTGCACTTGGCCAACCCCGTACAGGATGATTTTTTTGCTTTCTGTCTCTGCCTCTCCAACAAGCACAAGTGTCCTATAACAAAAATCTCACTTAAAACACACAGACACACACACACACACACTCACACACAACTCATACCAGCATTCCAATGTACTTGGACTGTGGATTCTGGAAGAACAATTATTTACAGTTGGAGTAGTATAGTTATAGAGAGGACAGATGTTCATTTAGCCATGAGAATATTAAAACAGTTCACTTGTCAACTAATCAAGAGCAAGCCTTTTTCTTCTCTACCTGCAGTCAAGAATCCAGTCTTAATGGATTTTTATGGAAGCTGCTGAGGATCTGTGAATGACCCATCAATCCCCTTGCCTTTTCCATAATCTCCATGTACATCAGAAGTATTTTTCCTTTGTTTTTTTTTTAATGGTTTTTGCTATAGGGCACGTGTACTCGCCAGAGATAGAGACAGTGAGAGGGAAAGGGAGAAAAGGGGGGGAAAGCCATGCCACAATCCCTCCTTCTCCATTTTTCTCCTGGGATTTTGGGCACTCATGTACATGAGCCTACCATGATTTCCAAGCTACCAGATCTGGGACTTGAACTGTAATCAACCACGTGGGAATCCAGAGCCTTAACCACCATGCCACCTGCTGGCTGTCAGAAGTATTTTCTTAAAGGCTGATTCCTCTGTACAGAGGATGGTGCTAGAAATCAGTATGTTTTCATTGTGATGAGTTACGCATCTTGACTTTAGAAACCATTTCACCCAATACCTCGATTACAACTAGGCTTGTACTTTGTCCTGCAATGCTAAGAAAAAAAGCTTTTTAAAAACATATATGTCTCTGAAACTTGAAATATCATTTAAAAATCATATTCCAGATGAACTGCCAGTTACAGAATTATGGTAGTTACATATCTGCTTGGCAGTAGTGCTTGCTTGTCAGGTGTGGGCAGTCAACGAGTTAAACTGTTGGCAATCTGAGTTTGGCAAAGAGAGAATGAAAAATTCTGTCCCATTAAGAGGAGGTCATGGCAGCCTTAGGCAGAGGAACAAGTCTCCCTGACAATGTGTGGCTGCATCTCTTGAGTCTTTTAAAAAAGTAACAAAGAAGAAAGGATGGGATCAATTTCCTAAAACTTTCGGGAAGGCTAGGAGGAGTGGAGGGCTATGAAGATGGTCTGGAGTGCTCCATCAGTCTACAGTTAACAAAAGATGCTTCTCTGGGTCTCAGGATGGATGCTTTCCTGAAGGAAATACTATCACCTCCAAAGGTGGGACATTCTTATTGCTCAGAAGGCCAAGCAGCCCTCAAAGAGCCAGAGCCCAAGACAAGGTAAAGGCCCAGATACAGGAATGAGTCAAGTGGCCGCCAGCCCCTAGCCATGTCATGACAGGGTCTGCTGCCTATGTCACCATCTCCATAACAGTGTGTTTTACAAACATGAGATTGTGCTGCAGTGATGTCCAGACAACAAACTGATGGACCGGTCGACTGTCTGCTCAATAGGGTTCTGGGATGTGGGCAGAGGCGCTTGCCTTGAGTCAAGAAAAGGGACAGAGGTCTGTGTTTAAGGTAATTTCTTATCCCTTGGCTAAGAGACCTTTCTAAAACCGCAGTAGATTAGCTCCAGAGATGTGGAGAAAACATCAGGGGATGGATAGAAGAGAGGTCCAAGTAAGGAAGAGTCGCCTCACACTTGACATTGCCTGACATAAGGGGTAAGACAGGAGCCTTGCTTAGCCCTTCCGCCTACGACAGTCTGGAATGCTGGGTAGAGATGATCTGAGGGGTGCCATGGCTCGTTACAAGGTCATTCCAAGTTCCGACGGGTCTGCCTTGCCAGTCTGCCCTCTCCAAAATGGCAGGCTGGTATTAATGAGGTCCCAGGAGAGAAAGCATTTCTAAAAATGGGTATTGCTCAGCTCTATTATGGTTAAGCTGGTCTCACGTAGCTTCTTCTACCATTAACTACAAACTCATAGGAACAATTCCCACAAGAGGAAGAAAGGTCTTTCCACTGGGACTCATTATAGGCTCTGCTTCCCTTCTCCCAGGTCTTAAGCCCTGAAAAGATACTAAAACTTGCTCATCTGGAAGACACACCTATGCATTCATTCATGCATATGCATAGCTGCAAAGTATATATGCATATGTATGTAACCATGCACTTATGAAGTTTATAGAGTGATTCTACTAGGGAAGTTCTACTTTGGCATTAGTTCTTCCTATGGCTTGCTATAAATGAGAAGGTTAAGTTCACAAGCTATGGTGCTGTAGGCTATAGAAATATCTACTCACAACCTGCTTGTATCTCAGGGGGAGTATTCAAAAGCATCATGGCACTGGCAGCATCAATGTCAGGATCTGGAAAAATCAACCAATAAATAACATTATTTACAACGGAGCCAGTGTGTGTGTGTGTGTGTCATTTCCCCCTGCAAGTTTACAGTTTATGAATGCAACAGAGAAAAAAAACAAAAAATCCAGAAACCAGATGAGCCATTCCAAAGGTGCCTTTCTTCCAGTTTGGATTGAAGGGGAAGAAAAGATATCCAGATGATTTTTAAGAAGCACGTTAGTAAGATTTTTATCAGACAAGCACGGTCTCTTCCCATGTTGTTAATTTCATAATTTGCACTGTAGGTTCTTGATAAGTTGCTGATCTATGCACCCCGACAGCTTTTACCCTGGGGTGGAGGGTAGGAGAGTCTGTGATAATAGGAAGTGCAGCCACAGGAATCTCTAATGAACTGGGGAAAGCTCACAGCATCAAGAAAAGAAAGCATGAAATACACCTGCATCGAGTGAGATACAAACAAGACATTTGGTCATTTCCATTTGTCAGCAGAATGTAAATGGTACTTTACGAGGTTATGTGTGTGCACAACGGTGGTGGAGGTGGTAAAGGCATTAAAAAAAAAAGCACTTAACACATAAAGAAGAAAATTAAAGTTCTGATGTTGAAGCCGCAGTGTTTGTTTCTACATCTAGTATTGCTTTTAATATGGGAAAAAAAAAACACTCATCACTGCATTGCTATAATTCTTAATAGGTTTCTGAATCCTTACTGATCCACCGGTTGACAGATGGCAGGTTATATAGAGACAGAAAAAAATATTATCCTTTTATAACTAAATTCATTTTCCTCTGAGAAACAGCAGTGCTGCTGCTATGGAAATGAAGGTCACCATGGCAACGGTAAACAACCCCCAAGAATGGTCACTGAATAGGCTGAAAAGAACATCTGCCCCAGTGCAGCGTCCCAGCTGCCCTGGGGCGAAATTCGCTAATAGTGCGGTGATGCCTCGTGACAGAAGCTGCCGCCTGTGCCCTGTCCAAATAAATGAAGTGTGCAATTGAAGTCGACATCAAAATGCCTGCCCTTGCAGATTACTGCCTCGGCGTCCGCTAAACCCAGTAACTAATGACGGGGGAGAGGGGGGCTCGCGCTTGTCAGTTTTCGTACAAATTACATACCCAAAAATTCAATTTACTACTAATGGCTCTATGGCACTTTATTTGGGGTATTATGCTACAAAATTACTTTTTTACTGTTTAAAAAAAGTACATTTTTCATACTTTGTATGTGAGTTTAATTCCAAGGGAGTAACGTGATGGCGCAGAAGGCCCTGCAAGCTGTTAATATACGGACGCTGCTGGACTCAGAAGACAGTATCTCAAAAAATAAAATAAAACGGGTAAGAAGTATTACATTGCAGGCCCATTTCTATTTTGCCTGCAGGAGACCTGTTACTTCTACTTCAACATGGAGTAGAAGTCTATTTTCATAAGTGCATTGTATGAGAACCAAGTAAATTAACTTATTTGGCAATTCCTGGAGTGAAATGTCTAAAACAGTCATTGTTCCCCACTGATGTTAAAATATGCATATATTAGTTAAATAATCAACTGAAAAGACTTCATAGTTCTACTCACTGCTCCTGGGTATCGACTGCCCCTTCCCCTTGGTTTTCCT